GGATCATTTAATATTCTGCCCAAAGCATCCTTGATTACAGCAACTCTAGGTTTGAATCTGTTCTTCAGTTCCTTGAGCTTAAGAAATGCTGAGCGAGTCCGGCCCTTTTGATTTTCTGACTCTAGCCCCCTCCTAACAACCCACCCAAAGTATGTGAGACAAAGTCCTATTTCTAACCTGTAATATTTATAGGATATAGCTTTTTACCTATAATATTTATAGGTTAAAAAACCTACAGAATTCAAAATAACTATATTCAAGAATAAAACTTAAGGTATGATTTACCTTCTGATGTATGAATATTTGGATCATTCATATGGCATTAAAAAGTAGGAAAAAAAATACTTCCTATTGGACTAATGTTATTTTGACAGTTGAAATAGAGCATGGGTTCTGCTAAACCACCTTACTTGGGATGCTGGCTCTATCTGAACAAATCAGTTAACTATGGCTCAGTGTTGTGAACTGAAGAAATGTCTACCTGGCGTACTCAGTAGGGAGCTGGACTGCCAAGGCCATGCTCTAAAGCAAGCTCGAGGCACTGCTGGTTACACTGTCCAGGGTCACATTCACCAGGGTCACACTGACCAGGGTCACATACAAGACACAAGTGCTGCTTCCCTTCCTTCACCACGTAATAGCATCTGTCTACACCTGCTTTTTGTTGTTCTCCGTTATCTTCATAGCTCTATTTTTCTAACATATATTTTGTCCAGAGTTAATAATAATATCGGCCGGAAGGTTAGTCCAATACAATGACTTCCATCATTACTGGATGCCATAATTCTATTATTTTACAGATTTTAACAGTGTAGCGACTCCTTTCTTAACAGCAGTGTCATAAAAGGATGAATGGTGAAAGAAGGCTGAGGAGAGCTACAATGTCAGACACCACAGGCATATCACTAAAGCTGTAATTTCTACTGGCCATGTAGACTACAGTTTTCACACTTAAACTTGAAAAGCAAACAAGTAATAAATGGTTAAACTACATTTATAATCCTGAGAAGTTCATCACCAGCTTTTTTGGTTATATACTGTCACAGAGGTTTCTGAATATTTTGTAGGAAAAGTAAAACTGGAGGATGTGACCTCACATGATAGGTATACATTTCTATGTTACAGTAACATGGTCACTGAAAACAAAATCTATCACTCACTTAAATTTTCAGAAGTCACCATGAATTCTTCAACTTCATCATCAGAATCATCTATGAGAGGCATGAAGGCATATCTATACAGAAAAAAAACCATATAGTAATTTTTATTAATATGTCTAAACCTTTTTTCTGATTAAATAAAACTAAACAGCATTGCATACAGAAAAATCCATATTTTAAGGGATTTTAAAAAAATTTATTATTAATTTCAATGAAAACTTGCAGAGACTTGGGTTTCCATTCATTCATTGTTGCCCTTTTCTCACCTCCCAACCCTCCCTGCTAGTTCACTACCCTCTTGGAAAAGTAAAAGAAAAATTCTTTCATTGTTTTACAATTCCTCCCCTGAGGTCCACTCCACTATGAAGCCTTCGCTCTGGACTCCTGTCATGACAAAAATACCTAATCACATATCCCTTTTAAACAGTTTTCTCCCTTAACTGTTTAAATGCAGTATACATTACTGATCTTTCTTAGTCTCCCCGAACCCCGATGTTAGTCCTGTTTTATAACAGCAGCACCATGCAGTATTTGTCTTTTTGTGACTGAGATACTTCACTCAGCATAATGTCCTCCAGGGTCACCCATTTTAAGTAATATTGGATGAGTTCCTTGTTTTTCAACACAGCATAGTATTCCATTGTGTGAATATACCACAGCTTCTCTATCCATTCATTTGTTGATGGGCACGTAGGTTGTTTCCAACTCCTTGCTATAGTGAAAGAAGCTGCAATAAACATGGGTGTGCATATATCTGATTGGATGTCAGTTATGGCCTCTTTGGGGTATATTCCCAGTAGTGGAATTCCTGGGTCAAATGGTATCTCTATTTGCAACTTTTGGAGAAAACACCATACCTTCTTCCACAATGGTTGCACCATGTTACACTCCCACCAACAGTGAATAAGTTTCTCCACAACCTCGCCAGCATTTGTTGCTTGCTGTTCTGTTAAATTTTGCTATTCTGACTGGGGTGAGATGATATCTCATAGTTGTTTTAATTTGCAACTCTCTTAGAGCTAGGGATTTTGAACATTTCTTCATGTGCTTGTTAGCCATCTGAATATCTGTTCATATCCTGTGCCCATTTTTCTATTGGATTATTTACCTTTATCTTGTTGTGGTGAAGGGTTTTTTTTTTTAGTTTAATATAATCATTTCTGTATATTGTCTTTTATGTTTCTTTTTTTTAATTATTCTGATTTATTTACAAAAGATTATGGTTTTTCACAAAAGATCATTCCCATTTCCTTCACACATCAAATTGTGCAACCCGATGATTAACATCTTCCCCCTATCCTCACCCCTCTATTTCTATCTTCCCCTCTGCCTTGGATCTTCATACTCATTCTACAATAATAGTTTTATACAGTATTTGTCCTTGTGGGATTGAGTTATGTATTTTTTAGTTTCTTATGAATTAAAAAAAATCCGTAGTAGAGTGGACTTGGGGTGGAGGGAATGTATAACAATGAAAGATTTTTTTTCTTTTACTTTTCAAAGAGGAGAGTCAACTGGGGGAGAGGTTGAGCAGGGAGAAAAGTGCAACAATGAATAAATGGAAATCCAAAGTCTCTGTAAACTTTCACTAAAACTAATAAAAATATTTAATGAATATAAAAAAAGAATGATAACAACAACAACAAAGCACACAAAAACTCCTGCTAAATTAACGAAAGTTATTGTTGTGAAAGTGCTCATATCCTGTCAACAGAAGCACAGGAGATAAGAGCATTCTGGGAGGAATCTGATAATCTATACTATCAGGGGAAGGGGCCTCCTGTGCTACTTTCTGCCCTGTCAGATTTCCTTCTCTGCCTACCACTTCATATTTTATTCCCTATTTAAGAAGTTACTTATCTGACTGTGGATAGGGGGAGCACAGTTCTTGCTATACCTTTCTCTCAGATATATTACTGATGGAATAAAAACTGACAGAATCTTTCTGAAAGTCATGAAAATTCACTAGGACAGGGAATGAATAGCTTTCAATCGTGCTGCTGATAATGGCCAAAATCTGAGAGGCAAGTGTCTAATAACGGTTTAGCTGTTGAGTCCATTCTCACTCCTGGTGACCCTGTGTGTACAGAGCAGAACTGCTATGCAGAGTTTTAAAGCTGTGACTCTCTGGAAGCAGGCGTGTGTCCTGAGGCATCCCTGGGGAAGTGTGAACCACTCTATAACCAGATGTTTGCACCAGCAGACACCAATGTACTATGATGTCTCTCTCCAAGGACCTATTTCTCATTACAACATGTCCAAAGAATGTCAGACAAAGCCCCAGAATCCTTGCCTCCAAGGAGTAGCCTGGTTTAACCCTCTCTAGGACAGATCTATTTGTTTTCTTGGCAGTCCCTGGTACATTCACTACTCTTCTCCAGCACCACAGCTCAAAAGCATCAATTCTCCTGCTGTCCTCCCTAGCATTGTACAACTCTCTGATGCATAACAAGTGATTGCAAAGACCACGGCCTGTATCAGGCACACCTTAGTCTCCAGAGAGACACCGTTGCTCTTGAGTACTTTAGAGAGGTCCCTAACAGCAGACTTTCCCATCGCAATACGTTTTTTTATTTCCTGGCTGCTGGTGCCAAGAGTGTTGACCATGGAGTCAAGCAAACTGAAGCTGTGAACAATCTCAATCTCTTTGCCATCCATCCTGATGCTACCGACTGGTCCAGTGGTGAGAATCTTTGTCTTCTTGACATTGAGCCTCAGTCGATACATGAATAAATTCTAAACAAGAAGACACAAAACTGGGTATGCACGTATGTGTTAATGCTCTTGTCATGCCCGGCGAGCCTACCTGTGACACACAGTGATCTGAGAACAACAGAGTGAAACCCAATCACCATCCTGTGCAATTCTCACAAAAAAGTACTGCCATGTTGTGGGTAGGGTCCATTTAGTCTGGTAGACTCACAGTAAGTGACCCTATGAACAAAAGCTCTAATCTTACCCTACCCTGAGCCAACCTCACTATCTCTAGCACATCTGACCTCACTGACAGTCACTGTGTAAATCCATCTCATCTAGCGTCTTATTTTTTTGCAAGGAGCTAGAGTCAGGAAATCAAAAGGGCTGACTCGTTCAGCATTTCTTAATCTCAAGGAACTGAAGAACAAATTCAAACCTCGAGTTGCTATAATCAAGGATGCCTTAGGCAGAATATTAAACGATCCAGGAGGTATCAAAAGAAGATGGAAGGAATATACTGAGTTATTGTATCGAAAGGAATTGGCAGATACAGAAGAGTTTAATGAAATAACATTTGAGCAAGAGCCTATGGTGATGAAGGAAGAAGTTCAAGCTGCTTTGAAGGAAATAGCAAAAAATAAGGCCCCAGGAATAGATGGTATACCAATTGACGTATTTCAGCTAACAGCCCTGGATGTGTTCGCCAAGTTGTGCCAAGAAATTTGGAGAACAACCACTTGGCCAACTGACTGGAAGAGATCTATATTTGTTCCCATTCCAAAGAAGGGTGACCCAAAAGAGTGTGGAAACTACAGAACAATCTCATTGATTTCACATGCAAGCAAGATTCTACTGAAGATTATCCAAAAACGACTGGAACAGTACATCAACAGAGAACTGCCAGAAGTCCAGGCTGGGTTTAGAAGGGGTCATGGTACTAGGGATATTGTAGCTAATGTTAGATGGATCTTAGCTGAGAGCAGAGAATACCAGAAGAATGTCTGTGTTTCATTGATTATGCAAAGGCATTTGACTGTGTGGCTCATAACAAACTGTGGCTGACTCTGAGAAGAATGGGAATCCCAGAACATTTAATTGTGCTAATGAGAAAGCTATACTTGGACCAAGAGGCAGTCGTAAGAACAGAGCAAGGCAACACTGCATGGTTCAAAATGGATAAGGGTGTACGGCAGGGATGTGTCCTACTCCATACCTTTTCAATCTGTATGCAGAGCAGATTATCCGAGAGGCTGGGCTCTATGAGGAGAAGCGTGGCGTTAGGATTGGTGGAAGATCTATCAACAATCTGCGTTATGCAGATGACACAACCCTGCTTGCTGAAATTGAGGAGGACCTCATGAATTTACTGCAGAGGGCCAAGGACTGCAGCCTTCAGTATAGACTGAGGCTCAATGTCAAGAAGACAAAGATTCTCACCACTGGACCAATCGGTAGCATCAGGATGGATGGCAAAGAGATTGAGATTGTTCACAGCTTCAGTTTGCTTGAATCCACGGTCAACACTCTTGGCACCAGCAGCCAGGAAATAAAAAAACATATCGTGATGGGAAAGTCTGCTGTTAGGGACCTCTCTAAAGTACTCAAGAGCAACGGTGTCTCTCTGGAGACTAAGGTGCGTCTGATACAGGCCATGGTCTTTGCAATCACTTGTTATGCATCAGAGAGTTGGACAATGACTAGGGATGATAGAAGGAGAGTTGATGCCTTTTAGCTGTGGTGCTGGAGAAGAGTACTGAATGTTCCATGGACTGCCAAGAAAACAAACAGATCTGTCCTAGAGAGGGTTAAACCAGGCTACTCCTTGGAGGCAAGGATTCTGGGGCTTTGTCTGACATACTTTGGACATGCTGTAAGGACAGACAGGTTCTTGGAGAGGAACATCATGCTTGGTAGGGTAAGGGACAGCGCAGGAGGGGAAGACCCTCTTATGAGGTGGACTGATTCAGTGACTGGGGTAATCGGGATGGGTGTGTTAGAGGCAATGCAATTGGCACAGGATAGAGCAGGGTTTAGGGCTGTTGTACATAGGGTCGCTGTGAGTCACAAATGACTTGACGGCACATAACAACAACAACAACAACAACCCTTTTTCATTTTACCCTGTATACTGTTGTTGTGTGCCATCAAGTTGCAACTGACTGACCCTCCAGTGGGTTTTCAGAGGCAATAAATCATACAGGAGGAGACTGCTCATCCTTGTCCCATGGAGAAGCTGGTGGATTTGAATAATGTGCCTTTAAGATTGCAGTGCACCTTCTAACCTCTAGGTCACGAGAGCTCCCTATTCTCCCCCTAGAAGTACTGTATTTATAATCAACATATCTGCACATTCTCATGGGAAGAGGGGTGCAGCAAGGGGAGATGGTGTGTCCACTGCACAGCCTCGGGTACACTGCTGAGCTCGCCGTTACAGTGCTTCCCTACCTAAGCCCCACTCTTCCTTTCCAGCTTGATCTCATTCTGCTTTGAGGACTATTAACCAAACTGCAGGCCTTGCTATCCTCCCCAGAATATCACATCTTTCCCCATGGTGTCAGAAAATGGACATTCTTTCTCATCTTAATTGTTCACTGTCTCATCAAGGTCAAGCATAAATGCTCTCTCTTTCACGAAGCCTTCCTCATTTCTCTTACATCTTCTCTCTCGACTTAGTCTGCATATTTCTATTTCACTGCCTGACATCTGCTGAATTTGTCTCATCTGATTCCTCACAGGCAAGGACTACTTCCTTACAGCTCCTATGAAATTATAGAATATCTATAGTAGGTAATCAACAAAAAGATCACTGAATGGAATTTTTCTGTTAGGTACCTCTGATTATTTGCTGATGGTCTCCACAGAAACATTATTACAATAAGGATAAGTGAAAAAAGGAAGCTCCAAAATGCATCATCAACCCAGCGTTCCATCCAATCCTATACAAAACGGACATATTTTGAAATTTATCAAAAAAGATTTTCTGCTAAACATTTATTTTCTCTTTAAACAGTATTATATAAATATTAATAAATTTTTTCCTACCAATAAATCTTTCATATAACCAAGCATACAGTTTTAAAGTATAAAAAGTAAGAAACTTCAAATAATTCATTCAAAATGTGTATCTCTATAAAATCTCAGTTAGTGTTTCCTGCAGTATCATAATGAGTCAGATGAACAGTATCTTAACATAAAACAACATTAACATACAAAGAATTAGAGAATTAAAGTTTAAATACTTTTCAGAGGCGCTTTAACCTTGTTTTATTTTCTAGGAGAACAAAGTAGGGCTTAAAGAGATTAATGCTCAAAATCATGAGACAGGCTAACAGCTGAATTGGAACCAAGCTGACAATTCAGCTTTTGTGACACTGACTTTGACACTGATCATCCGACGCCAAAGCCTGATGCAATTTATCCATACAAATTATTTCCCTAGTTGCTTATTTCGCTTTTAGTAGGAGATTGTAGATGTTTTGAAAATGTTTTGAGAGAGCTGTTTATATTTATGAACATACTCTTCCCAAAGAAACCTTTTAGAGTTAACTAAAAAAGAGGAAAAAAAATTTAGAACATTAAGTGGAAAAATAATAATCCAATAGGGATAAGAAGAAAAAGAAATTACAAAAAGAAGCCAAAATGTTTGGAGAGCTCTTTGCAACTGGTTATGTGAACCTTGAGACTTGCTTTAAATCTCTAGAACATTCACTCAGGAAAGGGTGTCTTATATTCTAAATCTAAGCATTTATCTCCTTCTGACTAGAAAACCCAACAAGAGTATCTCCTAAATGTCCCAGTGAATATGCCACTAGAGAAAACATGTGAAACTTAACATTTACAATCTTAAATACAAAATTACTTCTTCATTTCATAATACACAGAAAGAAAAATAAGAACACTGACTCATCTATCACCTTAAATTATGCTTTCTCTTCTAAACATACAAAAATAAGTTAAGAAAAGGGAATAACAGAGAAAGAAGATTTAGGAGGAACTTTCCAGACTCATTTCAAGGAAGCAAAAGACTATACTTCTATAAAAAAACAGTTCAAAGTAAACAGAAATTTCCCATTGGGATTCAATGTACTTACAAACTAAATTCTTCAAAAATAATTAATTAAAAATTGTACAAATTTATAAAAAAATAAATTTGTATATTAGAACAAAAAATGGTTTAAGTAGAAAGGCCATACTTACTGATTGACATTTTGCAATTCTAAATGTCTTAGTCGTCCATATCATAAACACTACAGAAGCTGAAAACACAAAAAGTCATCTTAAAAGGAACATACAATATTAATATAATTTATTATAATAAGAAAAATTAAATAACTTACCCAATACAGCAAAGATCAGAGTATTTGTAAAGTGCCTGTACAGAGAGAATTTCACCGTGTTCTTTCTTAATCTTAGAGTCTTCACAGTTTGTGCCAAACTTATGAAAATGTGAAAAAAGTTAAGGAAAACCACTTTAAATAGTAATAAATGAAGATGAAATAACAACATAAGGATCCTAAACTGTATTTCAAATGTCTGTATGTTAGCTATAGTTCAGCAAATTTGAAGCTAATAAAAAGCACAAAGTATTATCATAACCAACACTGTATAACCATTGTTATTGGGTGCTGTCAAGTCAAACACGACTCCGAGTGACCCTATGAACAAGAGATCTGAATCCTGTCATTTCATGCACTATCCTCATCATCTCTGACACACTTGAGCCCACTGCTGTAGTTGCTGGATCAATCTATCTTATTGGAAGTCTTCCTCTCTTTCCCTGACTCTCCACCTTTGCAAGTATAATGTTCTTCTCCAAGGAAGACCTGAAGCCCTTGCTGCAAAAGGTTAGGGACTACAGTCTTCAATATGGATTGAAGCTCAGCATCAAGACAACAAAGATTCTCGCCATGGGCCAACTGGCAGCACCATAATAGATGGAGAGGAGATTGAAGTTGTTAGCAATTACAGCTTGTTCAGATCCACAATCAATACTCTTAATACCAGCAGTCAAAAAATCGTAAGACAAATCCCATTGGGAAAATCTGTTGTCATGGACCTCTTCAGAGTGCTGAAGAGCAATTATGTCTGTCTAGATACAAAGGTGCACCTAATCCAGGCCATGGTCTTCTAATTACTTGTTATGCTTCAGAGAGTTGGACAATGACTAAGGATGACAGAGAAGAATAGATGCCTTCTCGTTGTGGTGGTGGAGAAGAGTCTTGGACATACCATGGACTGCCAAGAAAACAAATAGGTGTATTCTGGAGGGGGTAAAACCAAGTCTATCCTTGGAGGCTGGGATTTTGAAGCTCTGCCTCACTTACGCTAGGGACGTGGCCAGGAGAGATCAGTCCTAGGAGAAGGACATCATGCTTGGAAGGGTGGAGGGACACTGTGCAGGAGAGGAAGACCCTGGTTGAGATGGATTGATACAATAACTGGGGCAAAAGGGGTTGCTGTGTTGTAATTAGCGAGACTGGCTCAGGACAGGTCAGGGTTCAGAGCTGCTGTACATAGGGTTGCTATACATCATAGGAGACTCAATGGCACAGAACAACACTAACATATTATGACAGGTGTGGAAGCAGGAGTGGCATCCACTTCCTAAACAACATGCATAGGAGACTCAATGGCACAGAACAACAATAACATATTATGACAGGTGTGGAAGCAGGAGTGGCACCCACTTCCTAAACAACATGCCTCTGGAAACTCTATGAACTCTGATAAATGTTGGTAGTTGTAGAGAGGCTTTAGGTCATTTGTTTATTGGGTTGCTATAAGGCAATCAACAAGAACAACAAGCAATACTGACACGGTGACTGCTGCAATGGGCTTTTGTGTGTCAGGACGTGTGAGTATGGCACAGAATATAACAAGGTTCATTCAGGTCTTTTGTTCATAGGGTTGCTATGAGTTGTACTAGACTTGACAGCACTTAACAACAACAAGCAACATACCCAAAGCTTGTGAGAAAAAGCTTTGCCATCTTTGCCTCTAAGGGGAACTCTGGTTGTACTTTTTCCAAGTCATGTGTGTTTGTTCTTTATACTAACTTTATCACAGATTTTACAACTTATCATATGAACTAAATCATCAAATATTAATGAAAAAAAATGTATGCCAGAAGACTTGCATGTTCCTGCAATGCCATGAACAGCTCTCACTTGTGACATCTGGCATGTACTTTTCTTTTGTCTTTGTACCTTGTTTGTTCATTTTTATTATTGATCATTATTTGCTTCTCTGAATGATCATAACCAAGAAGGGAGGTCACAGAGATAACATTTGGGTGAGTTTTTATTCCTGTGAGCCTTGGCTTAATTGTCTTTGCCTAGATACTATTTTGATCCTATCTTTGTAAAAAAAACCACAAAACAACAAAGGCAGGTAAGCTGCCAAATCCATTTTCTAAACTGAAACATGTCAAAACAAATCTGGACCATGGTCAGCCAGATTTTATTCAAGTGGATTAATGTAATAGGGAAAATATGCCAACCACAGAAGATCTCCAAGCCCTCAAAAGCCAGGCAGGAAAGGGAAGCAAGAACAAGGCTAGAAAAAACTAGGTATGGGGGAACAGATGGTCTGACTGGACTGTTGATTAAGCACTGCCTTTTTTTTGAGGTTGGCCAATTTTCAGGAGGAGACATTACAGACAGGCTGTAGACTGGCTTGAGGCTGAGGCGGGGCCAATAATGAGGGATCTGGAGGAACAACAGTGCTTAAACAAAACTGGCCAGCCAGGTGTGTTGTGCACATTAGTCAAGATATAAAAACACTTGAGCTAATCACTTATGAGAACAGGAATTTGTAGGCCTGATTTCTGGCCTTGTCATAGTCAACTGGGATTATCTGTAAACTCTTCCATGGAACATAAAAAAATATGTGTGTGGTGAAAAAAGACCTGCACAGACAAGTATTTCTTGATCATCAGCAAGATCCAGGAGCACAGAGCTAAGGAGAGCAACACTGTGGGGTCTGAAGAAGCAAAGAGATTGTCCCTTGGACTCCACAGCAATGCAGCTGGCTTTCCAGCCAGATTTTTCTGTTCTTAAATCAAAGTTCCTTCCTCTGGAGCACACCAACAAATGTTGCTTAAGAAATCAGCACTGGAAAACATATATCTACTCTTTTCCTGATAACTATTCCATGACAAAAGCAGCAAAGTGGCAAAGGTTGTACTTGTGCATATTTAAAACCGTATTGTAACTCATTAATCAAAAGGTAGTACTAAATTATAATACCAAGACTGCTTCTTAATCTTTCTAAAAGAACAATAAGGAGATCTGGTGGCCTACTGGGTAAAGTGTTGCACTACCAATGCAGATAGGTGGTTCAAATACACTAGGTGCTCTGTGGAAAAGGTGGACCATCTCCTCTCTTGCAATTTATTCTCTCTGAAAACCCTCTGGAGGGTTACCTATGAGTTGATATCAACTACCTAGCATACAACAACAATAAAGGACTAAAAAGTTGTAATACAATACAACCAATTAAGACCGGTAACAGAACTTACAAAAATGCATATATATGTTTATTATTTCTAAAACAAATCAAGACCAAAGCTTATAGAAATCTTGAATCAAACCAATTTTCTAGGTTAAAGTGATCTTATTTACAAACTCAAAGGATTTTTTTAAAGGCAAGGAATAAAAAAATGAAAAATATGAAACTGCTTAAGCTTTCACTTAATGAGCTACTTTTAAAATGAATGTTGTAAATGTTGAATCATATCTTCTGTCAGAAGAAAGAAAGAATAAATGCTAAGAGGGCTATGGATCCTGAAGTGAAAACCAGTATAAACCTTCAGATGCGAGGAAAAGGATATCCACCAGCATAAGCCAGAGTCAAGGAGAGAGGGAGGGAGGCTGGCTAGAAGAACAAAATCAGAATCTTTCGCCTGCAGCAAAATAGCAAAAATAAAACAAGCCAGCCAGAAACAGGAAGGATCTACATGAGAAAGACTACAGCTTTACCATTTCCAGGCTAATTTTTTTCTATTACTTTTAAAATTAGATCCTTACAAGGTTATTTTAGGAGCAGTGTTAAAACCAAAAAAAGAACTGGGTATAAATTAAATGTAAAAAAGTGCAGTATTAATGTGGAAGAAGGTAAAAAGAATTTGTTCTGGAAGCTGTATAACCTTGCATTCTGTTCTGACAGTATCATGAGCATTTTCTCTAAACTGCCTCCCATTTCTACCATCACAGAGCAGAGAGACAATGAGAATTGCCCAGAGTCAGCTTGAACCATTGAATGTCTCCCTCTTACCACCTCCCCTGCCCATAATGCTGCTTCCCCCCATCCACCCACCTTTACCGAAGCCACTGTCCTGCTGTCCTACTGAGTTTGGAACGGCCACAGCCAGAGCCAGCAGCACTGGCAGCTAGGTGACAATCCTCACCTAAGTCTCCATCCTGAGACAGTGCCCTGCCTCGCCCTCCCTGCACCTTGCCCTCACTCCAGACACCATCCCAGCTCCCCTTCTTTGGTGATAATCTACACTCTCCCCGGACACAGTGGTGGCCGCCTACAAGGAACTTCCACCACCGACTCCAATTCCTTTCCCAAGCCAAGCTCAAATTCCAGCTCTCTTCTTCATTTTTATTGCCTGGGTAGCTCCAATGCCACTCTTTCCGACTTCACTCCACACTGTCCTCAGCCACCCACCTGAAACTTGCAGTGACCCCTCTGGGGCCTTTCAGTACTTCTTCTGAAAGCCAGTTCCACCAAGTCCATCATCTGGAGTCCTTCACATTCCCCTGACCCTCAGCTTCTTTTCTTTGGGCCACTGCAATGACTCCTCCTAAGACTGACTGTCTTCTCTGTCATTGTTGCATTATAAGACACCTTCCATCATGTTGCTCACCAACTCAGCGTAAATTTTCTTCTTCCTGCCTTCTGAAGGAAGTCTAGATGCTGGAGGTGGAACGCTATCTTTCTCTTCTGGAACCATTTTCCATGATTCTCACATACATGTTCTTCTATAGACCAGCTACCTGAGCACATTCTACTTCTATCCCCATATTTCCATTGGCTTGCTCCTCTTGCTTAAGAGACTATCCCTTCCCCAATTCTCTGCCTACTACACCTCTTTGTGTTTGCACAGTATCAATTTAAATTTCATCATCTCTGTCAAGTCTTTCCTCATTTCTAGGTCACAATTAAAATTCTCCCTCTGCCCTCTGCTAAGCTAGTATCCCACTGTAGACAATGGTGATTACTGGCCATGCTGTTCCTAGTTCTGCATCTGTCTCCTCTATCAAATCAGGAGTCACTTTCAGCCATACCTCCTCAGCACAGAACAGACGCTGAACATACAAATGTTTGCTAAACTAAATAAAAAGGAAAGATATTCTCTGATTGAGGTTATAAGGGTTGTTGCTTTGTCACCAACTAAATTCCTACTTAAGGTAACAATAATGACATAATTGTATTTCTTTCTATTATTAGTACAAATAAAAATTATTTTTTAAAAAATATCACAAATGATAAAGGATATGAACCACACAAAAATGGAGTCAATGACTGCTAAAATAATGTCACCCAAAACAACAGCTAAATGAGTGGAGCCCTGAAATAAATAGAAAAAAAAAACCACCAAAAAAAAAACACCACAAAATAAAACACAAAATGAATGCAATCATTATGTTACAATTACTCAATACTGAAAAAGAATTTTAGCTCATAATTTATAAAATCTACATAAAAGATTGCTATATTATAACAACTGTTTTGCCACCAACAAGTACTAATTTGTTATCAACTTATTGGATAATAGTAAAATAATATTATGAAATGGTAAATAAAAAGCAACTTTACTGAAGTCAACTAATTGAACCTCACCCCATTCCACAGGAAGCATGTAGCCAGGACAACACAAAGGACTCCTGTTTTTTCCTACACTTTGTGAAAGGACCCAGACAGAAAGGGGACAATAGAGAAATAAACCATGTACATATCCATGCTGTGACTAATCAGGAATTGAGAGAGAATTATATTTACTACCTTCTTCTTCCTTTTTAGTGAAGATTAACTTCCTGTGAATTACAGAGATATAAATAGTTCATCATTATATGAAAGTAAAAATAACTACACTCAAAGTTAGAAGAATGGTGCACCTAAAATGCAGACAATTCAAAGGGGGAAGAAAAATGAATGAGGCTTGAATGACACTATTAATAAATATCTTGCTTTAAGGGATAGATCAAAATATGGGACAGAAACTTATACAGATGAACCACTCTCTAAATACTAGTCTCATTTACACATTTAGCCCAAAAGATATTTCTTCATGAAAATTACAAAGTTCTCTGAATCAGGTAGGATAAAGCATGTTTCTTCATCACTTAGCAAATAATTATTAAGAAGACCAGAAAGCTAGAAATCTAGGCATCTTCCTACATTACATTCTGACACTACACTAGACAGCAGAGAATTACTGCCTAATTACCAGCCACTTTTCTCCCTGAAAAATTCCTTCTCATTCTTCTCATAATGGGATATGCTAAATCCCTGAATTAATGTGTTTACAAGAAGCAGATAAAATTTATAATCAAATGAAGCATAAAGAATGATGAAGTGTAATGCTTATAAGCTTGAAGGGCACAATTAACTTCCTGTTCACTTGTTACATTTATAAAGCAAAGGTTATGTACAAATTGTATGACTGATAAACTATAATTTAAAGACTAACTACAAACATTTCTAGGACAGCTAATTCCTGAGATAACATCAAGTATCTTTCTTAATGTTATCATCTTCATAAATGTTTTATCTAGTCTTTTCTTTAAAGAAAATATTTTTTGAGGGAGGGATTTCCCATCTTAAAACTTTATCTCATGATATAGAAAGTAAAAGTGTACTTCACTGTTAAGGACAAGAGAATGGTAGAAGAATGAAGTAGTTTTTACCCCAATGACTCTCATCACGCCCTCAACAGCTGCAAAGAGAAAGTAGAGAATGCCCAGTCCAATCACCCGATGCATGACAGTTCCTAAACGAGGCCTGCAGTGAGGAAGAGGAAACAAAAAGAAGACACACAGCATGAGTACGCACCATGGACCTAAATGTAAGAAGCCGCACTCTTTCCAATATCAGACAAGACCTTATCTAATCAAATCAGCCTTACAATGCTTCAGGAAAACCACATACTTTTTTGAAAGGCAGGCTGTGTATCCATTTATCTAGGACCCAGGGCTGTGGAGATTTCACTGAAGCAACATGCAGAGGCTGCATAAATGGCAAAGTATTTGATTGCTGCAATTTATGCACTATAATTAACATACTAGTTGGCTGCTGACTCCCAGAAATCTTGTGTATCAGAGCAAAATCATTCAACAGGGTTTCAAGTGACTGCTTTTGTCAGAAGTAGAGAGCCAGATGATGTTTTTTCTGATGAGCCCCGGGTGGGCTTACACTGCTCACCTTTTGGTGACCAGCTCAATGATTAGCTGTTTTCACCATCCAGGAACTATTTCACATACACCAGGCTCTACTTGTTTGGACTAGAAGAGTGGACTGATGATAAGCTACTAGAAGTTAGTTCTTTCACTAACAGCCACTCAATAAAGCCCTGGTGAAGCAGTGGTTAAGCACCTGACTGCTAACCAAAAGGTCAGTTTGCAGTTCTGTAGACAGTGACAGAAGTAGTCAGTCTTCTGTTTTACAGGCCCAATGTGGGTTTGAATTGACTCTAACAGCAGTGAGTTCAGCTTTTGGGCTTTTTTGGAAGATACCTGCTGAAACTGAAGAGGACCTGAAGCGCCTGCTGGAGAGGGTCAAGGACTGCAGCCTACAATATGGATTGAGGCTCAATGTCAAGAAGACAAAGATTCTCACCGCTGGAACAACTGGCAGCATCAGGATGGATGGTGAAGAGATTGAGATTGTACACAGCTTTAGTTTGCTTGGCTCCACAGTCAACAGTCTTGGCACCAGCAACCAGGAAATTAAAGGGTGCATTGCCATGGGAAAGTCTGCTGTTAGGGACCTCTCCAAAGTACTGAAGAGCAATGGTGTCTCTCTGGATAATAAGGTGCGTCTGATACAGGCCATGGTCTTCGCAATCACTTGTTATGCATCAGAGAGTTGGACAATGACCAAGGAGAATAGAAGAAGAACTGATGCCTTTGAGCTGTGGTGCTGGAGAAGAGTATTGAGAATACCATGGACTGCTAGGAAAACAAACAGATTTGTCCTGGAAAGGGTTAAACCGGGTGGCTCCTTGGAGGCAAGGATTCTGAGGCTCCGTCTAACATACTTTGGACATGTTGTGAGGAGAGACCGGTCCTTGGAGAAGGACATCATGCTTGGGAGGGTGGAGGGACAGCTCAGGAGGGGGAAGGCCCTCTATGAGGTGGATTGATTCAGTGACTGGGATAATCAGGATGGGAGTGTCAGAGACAGTGCGATTGGCACAGGACAGAGCAGAGTTTAGGGCTGTTGTACATAGGGTCGCTATGAGTTGCAAGCGACTCGACGGCACATAACAACAACAACAACTCTATTTCTTATTCTTTCACAAACATAAATTAGAAGTCCTGATATCTGAAACCAGACGAGGGCCCCAGTGGTTACAAGTCCCCAGAACAGACCTGTCAGAGGCCTGAGTCTGGGCAGCCCCAATGCTGGAAGCCAAGAGGACGAAGATGATCAACAGACTGGGCAGAAGCCACAGCCGATGAGGAAGAGGATAAAAGAAAGCAAAAACGCCTGCAAAGAAAGCCTACACAGTGTTCCAGGAGTGGTGATGCAGGCAGGGTACTTGGATCAGGCAAGGAGTGGTCCTAGGGACCCTGAGAAGGCTGTGTCAATGGAGGAACTGGCCAAAGCTTCACTATAGTGTGCTTGAAGACAGGGGAAGTTGAGTACAGAAGCTTATTTGAAACATTATGCCACAAGTGGGTGGCCAGAAGTGAGATAAAAGCAGAGAACGGCTGTATGGGTTTAATAGAAGACCTTTTTGAAGATGTAACAATAAAAGCACATAGAGGGGAATGATCCTTCAGAGAAGAGAGAGAAGATGGAGGAGAAAGAACTGACCACTAGTGCAGCTTCTCTGACACATGAGAAGTAACAGGAGTGAGGGCACAGAGATAGGCAGGACTTGGCCACAAATAAGGAGCAGCCATGTCTTCTGAAAGCAGAAAAACACTATGTAAATGGTTCAGACACAGGGAGATGGATTTGACAACAAAAATACACTGAGATTCTCTTCTAAAGGCTTCGATCATTACAGAAAAGAACTAAGGTCAGCTGAGAGGAATGGGGGCAGGGTATTGGGTCTTGGAAGAGAGAAAAGAAGGGATAATATGGTCCTCTACAGTGTGGGAAGGTGAGATAATAAGCCGTGAACGGTCAGCAGCTCGAAGGGTATTATTTGAAATCGATGATCACGAATTTAAAATGAGTCTATGCAATGTGGCTGGCTGTCGTTCTTGTGCCAATTCTATGAGTTAAATGTGGGTCTGAAGCAGGTGGAAAGCTAGATTTATCAATGTTAGGACAATAAAGAGAAAGGTGAGGACCTGAGTGTGCTTACAAGGATTATGCTATCCTGATAAACCACAGAAGTCTAAGCCAAAGGCAGAATATAAGACATGAGTGATGTGTTAGGCTCAATGACCAAAAGTCAAAGAACATCTGAAGCTGAACTTTTAAAGTAAATTGGAAGCAGGAGTGGCATTCACTTCCTAAACAACATGCCTTTAGAAACTCTATGAACTTTGAGAAATGATAGTTATAGAAAGGCTTCAGGTGTTTTCTTCATAGGATTGCTATGAGTCGTGCTCGACTTGACGGCAATCAACAACAACAACAACAAATGGACAAGATAGGTGATAGCTATAGATTGCTTAAAATGTAATTATCTAGAGATTACAGTTATATCCATTATTAAGGTCTAGAAAATGACCAGGGAAATCAGTAGCTGAGACCAGATAAGATCAGTACATATGAGGAAGTCAGAGCAGGTTACTCTCAAAGGATCACCTCCAAGGACAACACAATCTTTGAGAATTCTGACAACTGAAGTGTTGGGGACAAAGGTGGTGAAGCAAATGCAGAGGGAGTGAAGGATAAAGGAAGAAATGCTCAAGCTGATCTACACTTAGATGTAGCAGGAATTCCTGCCAGACAATCTGAGTTTCTGGGAATCAGAAAGTTTTAGAGAAGAAGGTACAATAGTCTACAAAAAGCAATGAGAATAAAAGGGGTAAGACCCCTCACATTCAAGGCCCTGGGTTCACAGATGTGTGAGGTGAGATTTGGCGAGAAAGTCAAAGGAAATAGTTTCTCTTTCTCATCAAAGTCCCATTTCAATCAGATTTGTTTTTTATCTTTTTTTTTGTTTGTTTTATTAATTTTTGTGTGTGTACCGTCAAATTGGATCTGACTGGTACAGGAGGAGATTGACCCTCCTTCTCCAGCAAAGCATCTGGTGGATTCGAACTCTGTCCCTCTTGGTTTGTAGTGCAGCTTCTTGCCAGTAGGCCACCAGAGCTCCCTTCATTTCAATCAGATTTTTCTGTGTTTATGTCTACTCCCTGTTTCTCACAGCAATCAAATACAGGCTTAACTGTATGCTTTGAGACAGGAAAGAATTTGTCTTTCAAGAATCATTTTTTATTATCCTTACCATTCATTCAGGATATTATCAAATAGCCAGTAAAAAAAAATAATTCTTTATAAACATGTTTTAAAAGATTTGTATTATCTATGGAATCTGTATTCGATACTGAGAGTTTCTGACTCAACAGTGTTAATAATGCAGGGTGATTGAATCACAAGCAAAGACTTATGACCTTTCCCAGGCACACTAACACTTACTTCACAATGCCGTAACCCAAGCTCACAATGATGACAAGGAGACGAGCCAATGTCCTCTTAATTGCAGAAATCAATTCAGCAAATATCAGTAAGCTTTGAGCTGAGAAGAGAACGAGAAATCATTCACTATGTGCACATTCAGAGGCAGTCACCTTGGTTCTGGACATGTGCTGTTTATAATTACATTCCAACATCATATTAATCAGCTATATGTGACTGGAAAGCCCTCTTGATCCAGTCACTGCAGGAACACCACAGGGAAGGAGGAAATCCCTATCTCCTGAAGAGTTCCTCCATTTTACCAACGGCTCCACTGGACACAGATTTCTAATTTCAACCTGAAATCTGCATCGCCGAACTTTTCTCTATTCTTGTCCTTCCCTGTGATGGCACACAAAAATCAGAAAGGCCCCGTCAAATGACTTGAAGACAGATCTGGAGCTAAGTGGGAGGAAGAGGCTTGAAGGACGGAGGTCGACTCATGGTGCTATTCCTTAGGGGAAACCATGAAAGAGCGGCCGACTTGGGGAAAGTGAGCCAAGTGGAAGGCACAAAAGCTGAATGGTATTTCTGCCACAGGGAGACTGAGAAGTGTGTGGGGCACTGAGAAGATGTGTAGCAGGTGACTGGACAGGAGAGAACTCTTTAACAAGAAGTAACATGACAGGCTTTCCAAGACAGGACACATGCTTATCAGGATGTTGCTTACTGGTCTAGCTGTTTAAACCTGAATTTTTTATGTGGAGCTGCAGTCCAAAACTAAGAAGTGAGTTTGTCAGCATCTATTCTTACTGGACCTGCTCTCCACACTCCACTGTGTAAAAAAGGATGGATGGGCGTTATTAATTCTTTGTGAGAATGAAAGAAAGCTGGAGAAGACACAAAGTTATGTGCATCATCTGTCCTAGAACCACTGAATGTACTCCCAGTGACTAAATGTCTTTTCTTTTTCCAAAGAAAGAAGAAAGATGATGGAGGAAAAATGGGTATCTGTAACATAACACTCCCCACCCTTTCATCTCTTCATTCCCTCAAAACACTCAAACCACACCCACAGTCAACTATTCTTTCAACTCACAGGGGTCTGCCATCAGGTTTCCTAAGCTGTCATCTCAAGGACGAGGGACAATCTCATCTTTCTCTCTCAGAGACTGGTGGGTTTAAACTGCTGACCTAACTACCAGTTAAAAGCCCTATTATACCCCCAGGCTCTCGTCCCAAGTCACTCTTACCATACTCCAGCTCACAAATGATAGGAGTCTATTGGACACTAATGTATTTAAGAGACAGTAATAACTTACTTGACAGTCCAGTGCTATTGATGTTTTGGTATTCAGAATAAAATACTGCTTTCTCAATCATTCCCAGGAAAATAACAGCTGCAATCCAGAACTGGATTCTTAATATATCTTTCCAATAACACGCAGACCACATTAGCCAGAGTACACCATATAATATATAAACAATACACATCACCATGTAAAACTGTTGGAAGAGAAACAATTTGGTCAGTTAAGGTTCCAGTTTGTAAGCCTTCATGTTCCAATCACAGAACCAAGAACTGAGGGTATGTCAAAGCACTAGCTACTCAAGGAGTACCACCACCAATATCTTAAAACGTAAGATTTTTCCAAAATTCATTTTAAAGAAGGAAAAATACTCACAATCAGTAGAGGCCAATCTGAAGCAGAAATATATCCATGAGGCCCCATCATAGAAAGGGAAACTAGAGAAGGGAAGAGGGGCACAAGGAGGAAGAAAAGAGTTAATGAAAAATCAATCTTAAGTTTTTAATGTAAGCTAATTTAAGAGCAGGCTCTTTAACATAAACCAAGCTAATAAATTAGAATTTTACGTAGCATGCACGAGCTATTGAGCTATTTGATTATATAATCTTACCAAGATACCTTCACTTGTGAAAGGCTATAGAAATCTGTTCCAAATTTGATCTCACACAAAAAAAGCAACACCATAACGGCTACCAAAGTAGGCCCTAAACTGGACCCTTGCTGACACACTGACATGAAATTTCTATCATCTTTAATGTAATGGGATAAATTACTGAACTCAAGCATGTAGGCTGGGTTGTTGTACAAGATAGCAACACTGAACACAGGTTGCCAACTACAGTGAGGACGTGTTGGCCTCAACAAGCGTTCCCATTACTAACTGTTGTTAAATGCTGTCAAGTAGACGACCACTTATAGGAACTCTATGAACAACAGATCTGAACCTTGCCCGAGCACCCTCTCCTGCACTATCATCACTGATATTCGCCAGTTCACTGTGTCAAACCATTTTGTTAAGTCTATTCTCTTTCTCTGACCTTCACCTTTCCTAGAATGAGGTCTTTCCTCAAAGTCTGGTCCCTCCTAACAACATGCACTAAGTATATGAGATGAAGCTTCACCATTCTTGCCTCTGAGGAACACCCTGGTTGCACTTCCTCCAAGACAGAATTTTGTTTGTTCTTTTGGCAGTCCACAGGATATTCAGTATTCTTCTCCAACACCACAACGTAAAGGCATCAAGTCCTCTCATTCTTATTCATGGTCCAACTTCCAGATGCACAGGAGGCAATTAATTAAAAATACCATGGCTGGATCAGGTGCATTCTATGTTTTTAAACTGACACTGTTGCTCAGAGGCACTTTGGAGAGGTCCTTAACAACAGATTATCTCAATATGATACATCTTGATTTCTTAACTGCTTGTTACCATGGAATAAAAGGCAACATCATACTCTAAGATTGAAGCTGTCAATAACACCAAGGGTAATTGTTGTTAAATGCCACTTAGTTGAGCATGACTCAAAGTGACTCCCTGAACAAAAGATGTGAACCCTGTACTATAATTATTGTCATTTCTCTGTTCAGAGTTTCCAGAAGCCTGAGGTTTAGGAAGTGGATGCCAATCCTGCATGAAGTTGTCAATGTTTTCATTTTATTTGGGTCCACTATCAACACCCAAAGTAATAGCAGTGAAGAAATAAAAAGGCATGTTGCACTAGGAATGTCCTGCATGAAGTTGTCAATGTTTTCATTTTATTTGGGTCCACTATCAACACCCAAAGTAATAGCAGTGAAGAAATAAAAAGGCATGTTGCACTAGGAATGTCTACTGTCAAGGACCTCAAAATGCTAAAGATGTCAGTTAACTGACTTGAGGTACACTTGATCCAAGCCATGGCATCTTCAATTGTTTCCTATGCATTTGAAAGTTGGACAATGAATTACAGACAAAGAATCAATACTTTGAATCATGTCTGTAACAATGGGCCCATGCATATCTGAGATTGTGAGGATGGTACAGGAAGATTCAGGTCTGTTGTTCATATAGTCACTATGAGTCTTAGTAGACTTGATGATACCTAACAATAAGCAACTATGGCTCTAGATTGTGGATCCAAGTAAAATTAAATCCTTGACAACTTTAAGTCTTTTCTCCATCTATTATGATGCTGCCTAAAGTCCAATGGTGAGGATTTTTGTTTTCTTGATTTTGAGATATAGTTCATATTGAAGGCTGCAGTCTTTGATCTTCTGCAACAAGTGTTTCAAGTCCTCTTTCTGTAAGCAAGGCCGTGTCCTCTGCATAATGTAACTTATTATTGAGTCTTCCTCCAATCCTGATGCCACAGTCTTCTTCAAGTAGCCCAGGTTCTCGGATGATCTGTTCAGAATACAGATTGAATAGGTATAGAGAGAAGATAGAACCTTGACACATATTTTTCCTGATTTTAAACCATGCAGTGTTCCCTTGTTCTGTTCAGACAATTACTTCTTGATCTAAGTATAGGGTTTTTATGAGCATAATACAATGTTCTGAGATTTGCATTCTTCTCAATGCTTTCCACACAATCAAATGTCTTTGAACAGTTGATAAAACATAAGTAAACCTGTCTCGTATTCTCTGCTTTCAGCCAAGATCCATCTGACAACTGCAATGACACCCACTATTTCATAATCAGCTTGGATTTCTGGCAGTTCAACACAATTCAAAGGTGTCAGCACTTCTCCTGTCATCCTTATTCACTATTCAACCTGTACTGTCAATGTACTGAGCCAATCATTTTTTAATAGTTGGTAAGATTTTACATGCATGGGTATTAACATTATTTATGTGATGCTCATGAGTTATTAACAGGCAGGAACTTAAAACTGCCTGCTGAGGTCCAAGAGAGAGACTGCATGCCTGTAAAGCAGATGCAGGTCAGGTAAGGGTACACATCCTTCCATCTGCATGATCTGACCCAGGCCAGCCCTCTCATCTCAGATGCCAGCTGGTGGAGGAAGGCCTACTCCACATAGCCTAAGGCAGCAACTCACAAGGATGCCTGCCCAGGCCTACGCAACCCCAGCTCTGGGCCTCCTCTGCAGCAATGCCTATCTGGCCTTGGTGTTCTCAACCTCTCCATAGACTGGACCCTGCTCAGAGGCAAAGGCTGGCTTCACATCTGTGTCTCTAGTGGTGAATCAAAGCAATTTGCAAATCCCCAGGATTGTCACATGCTGTGTGCTCACTGTCCAGTGGAATCCCAACCTGAAAAACAGGACCTAATGCAATTTTAGGTCACATGAAAAATGTTTATTCAGAGCTCACCTGTGCATTAGGCACTAAGAAACTTTTTGTAGTGAGGCAGTGGATTCTGCCTCATCCATTGAGAGTAGGGGAAGGCAGAGACATTGGGTACAGTTGACAGACAGACTACTTCTATTCCTGGGCTGCTGAAAATAATATTAATATATTTTTTTTTTGCTGAGGACAGCGTACTTTATTGATGGTACATGAGAAGGTGGGCTCTCTAAGCCCCTCCACTTTCTCAGGGGGACTGGATGGAAACTGAATCAAGGATGTGAGCTTCTCAGTGTCAGAGGGATTGAGTTGGAACAAAATGTCCTCAGCAGCTGAGAGTCTCTCTCTCCCCTAGTGCTATTGCTGAGGCTGGTGGATAAATGGCTCTTATTCTTTGGAGGCCATGTGAACCACCAGGTCAACCACCAGTTGCTGTAGCCAAATTCACTGCCTTACTAGGAAGAGTTTGACAAAGTGGTCATTCAGGCAACACCAGCCCCAGCATCAAAGGTGGAAGAGTGGACGACACTGTTAAAGTCACAGGAGACAACACGGTCTTCAGTGTATCCCCAGGATACCCCTGAGGGGCTCTTCTGATGCCTGCTTTACTACTTTCTTGATGTCATCATATTTGGCAGCTTTCTCTAGATGGCAGGTCTGATCCACAACTGACACACTGGGAATGGCAACACAGAAAGCAATGCCAGTAAGTTTCCCATTCAGCTCAGGGATGACCTTGCCCATGACCTCGGCAGTGCCAGTGGATGCAGGGATGATGTTCTGGGCAGCTCCACAGCCACCACGCAACAGCTTTCCAGCGGGGCACATCCACAGTCTTCTGGGTGACAGTGATGGAACGGACTGTGGTCATGAGTCCCTCTACAATGCCAATGTTGTCCTGGATGACCTTGGCTAGGAAGGTCCCAGCAGCTGGGGGTGCAGGAGGCCTTGCTGACAATCTTGAGAGTTGTCATACTTCTCATGGTTCACGATCATCACAAACATGGGCATCAGCAGAAGGAGCAGAGATGCTTACCCATTTGACACCACCCTTCAAATGAGCCCCAAGCTTCCCCAAGGGTGTGAAGACACCAGAAAACTCCATAACATACTCAGCACCAGCATCATCCCACTTGATGTTGGTGGGATCTTGCTCCTAGAGGATAGTGATGGCTTTTCAAATGATGACAAGCTTCCCATTCTCAGCCTTGACAATGCCGCTGAACTTGTCATAGGTGGAATCATAATGGAACATACAGACTATGTATTCGAGGTAAATGACAGGATTACTAATGGCAACACCATCGACTTTTCTAGAGTTAAAAGCACACCTGATTACCAAGCATCCAATGAAGTCAAATCCATTCACTCTGACCTTCACCATCATGTCTCAGGGATGCAGCTGAGGCTTCACAAGAAGAGAGGAATGTCGATCGAAGAGAAGCAGAGAGCCAGAAAGAATTATTTTTCATAATATTTTAAATAACTGATGATGATCAATTTCATGATATACTCCCACCAACAGTGAATAAGGGTTCCAGTTTCTCCACAACCTCGCCAGCATTTATTGCTTGCTGTTCTGTTAAATTTTGCTATTTTGACTGGGGTGAGATGATATCTCATAGTT